GGACAGGATTAGGAATGAGCACATCAGAGGGACAGCTCAGGTTGGCTGTTTTGGGGACAAGGTCAGAGAGGCCAGATTGAGATGGTTTGGACATGTGCAGAGGAGGGATAGTGGTTATATTAGTAGAAGGATGTTGGAGATGGAGCTGCTAGGCAAGAGGTCAAGAGGAAGGCCAAAGAGGAGATATATGGATGTGCTAAAAGAGGACATGAAGTTAATTGGGGTGAGAGTAGAGGATGCCGAGGATGGAGTTAGGTGGAAACAGATGATTGGCTGTGGTGACCCCTAACAGGAACAGCCGAAAGAAGAAGAAGAAGATGTTTAACCCTGGTAATATATTTGTTATCAGGGTGTTCAGCGGTCAAGATTGCTACTCACCTGTTGTGATGTTAATGTCAGAGATATTTGTGTTGTTATCAAGATGTATGGGAACACTAGTAGTATTCAAGGAATACAGAATCTGCTCAAATGTTTCTATATCAGAGGCATTCACCATGGCATCAACAAGGTAGGTCCAGTGGCCTACACAGATAGAAATTAGAAATATTAGAAAAAAAAAAAAATTCCCAAAAGTCAGATAAGATTGATATCATTCTCATGTCGGCGTGATAAATATGAAGCTGAGATGAGACAGTTACATTATAATGAAGAATGGAAACAACTGTCTGTTCAAAGGTGAAAAAACCCAACCTACTGTACCAACACCTCTAAAACAAACTAAATAAAACAGACTAGAACAGCAATGCTGAGCAGAAAGGACAGCGGTACCAATCTTCTCGTGTATTTCCCACAGTGTTAAACTATTTATTTTCATATATTCATATTATGTAATCTACTATGAATCCATTGGACTAACCATCTCTTTTCTGCCTGGTGTGAGGAAGAAAGTGTTCTTCATCACTCTCCTAAGACAAAAACACATCAGATTCCAATAACTGGTTTGTTATATTTATCAAAACCTGTGATCAAGCATGTCACATATTTTATGTTCAGTATCATAAATAAAGTGGACCTACCAGTAAAAGTGGAGTTGAAAATTCAATGCAGTTCCCTGATTTCAAAATTATAATTGTCACGAGAAGGGCCAAACTGATCACGCTATTGTTAGATAGTGCCATTCCTGTCAACCAAGTTAGAGAGGGACATAAAAATCAAATGATTTTATCCAGCTTTACTTCCTGCATTATTTTATAGCCTGTGGTCTGTTTTGTTACACAGCAAATAGACATGGAATTTCTGTTATAACATCTACTACCTACTGAACAAAGAATGTCAAGCCAGTCATTAATGCCTTGAGGGTGCTTCAAATTAAAATTATCTTAACACATCAATGCAGTTCACAGTCAGTTTGAATATTATCACGCCATTAAAAGGTTTTTATCATTTGTTATCACATATAAAAAATTACATTTCCATGTAATAAGCCAGACGGTATACTATATCATCATCCATCCATCCATTTTCCTCCGCTTATCCAGAACTGGGTCGCGGGGGCAGCAGTTTAAGCAAAGATGCCCAGACTTCCCTC